ACCGCATCGTTTCGCGGCGGTCGTAGCTGCGAAATCTTCGAGCGCACTCATTTCACGCGGACGCAAGAAAGTCGGGCATGGTTTACCGCACGCCTCGCGCGCGAGATTCTCGCCAGCGAAGAATGGCATTCGAAGGAGACTGAAGCGGCCGTAATTTACCTCGGTAAAAAATCCGCCAGCGGCTTTGACGTCTTTTTACGTTCAACTTACAACGTTTTTATAAACCTCGCACGTTCAAACGGAAGTTCCGGTAATTTAAATTCGATCTGAAATCAAACTCACAGTAAGGCTCATTCACTATTCATATCTCTGAAGGTCGTCTTATAAATAATATAATTTACCGATGGTAAGATTTTGTTTAATTTTTATCAAAACGAACAAATATCTCCAGTAGTAAGTTCCGATTTTTAGATACAAATGTGCGAATTTCTGACAATCGTTCTGATCGGTCTTTCCCCGCTACATCTTTTCTCTTCTGGTTTCTTCTTGTCCGTGGAACGGCACCCTGAGAAGCTCAGCTTGCGAAAAGTCTCAGGTCTTCAGTCGCTCGTAAATGACCAGTAACTTGTAAATTATTTCAATCATCTCTTTTCTTCGAGTGAAATTAACTCTATATAAATCGAAAGATGGAAAGTCGCGATGAACTCAAAGCATCCCGCACGAGTCGCAGACTCGTACATCATCAAGTAGGATACGGGTGTACGTTCAGGAACGCGGTACTTATGACTAGTGTGACCTTCACCCTTGCCTGGTTTCAGCGACTGGTCATTTCTCTCGTAATGGCCAACGAACGTCTTGAGTTAGTAATCCAGCCGGTCTGCGCGCCGATGTCTTGGAGATGGTGAAGAGAATAAGAGGGCTGTGCAGAAGGATAAGTGGCGAGATGCCGCGGCTTCTGCGGTTCACCTTATGCACGAGGCGGAAAATAGCGGTAACCGCAATCTGAGCTTGAAAAATGCGCGGTATTATAGGTTGAATCGCGCGGTACGTCATTAACCTTGGAAGAGGCACCTTTCTTCGTCGGTTACGTACATTTTCGTCTCACGTTCGTAAAGTGTCGGTTACTCCTCGGACGTGGTATTCTCGGATTCGCTATTTCTAAAGGTGATAACGAAATATCGCGGAAATTTTGTCAACTGACGCTTCGATAAATCGAATGGCATACTTTACTTAAAAGGTTACGCCGAGTTGAAGAGCTCAAAAAATCGAGAATCTTTTATTTTTCATAAAATTATATATAATTTTAAGTATCAAAAGTAATATACAATTGTGGCCGCGTATTAACATTTGATCGGTGAATTAAAATTCTCTCTCATAAGTAGAGCGCATAAGGTCAATTTAGACACGTTCAACATGCATGCGCGGAGCATTTATATGCATCCGTTGCTTGCTTTCATTTTATGAATAACTTCTATATCGTAATGTCGAAAGCAGTACGTCTGTTATACAAGGAATTAAATAAGAACAAACTTTTCTGGCGGTTGTATTGGCACATCATTAACAACTCTCAATTTGGTGGGATTGGAAGGATGTTGTGTTCTACGAGCTTCTTTCGAAGAACAGAACGATCAATTCAAATACTGTGCTGTGCTCAGCTGGACAAATTGAACGCAGCCACCCATGAGAAGTGTTCAGAATTGATGAATCACAACGTAAAAACCGCACGGAATTATTTGTTACTTCAATATATATAAAATAACATAATAAATAGATATATTCTCCTCTGTAATTTCCTCGCAAAAAATTCCTATATAAGCCGTCCATTTCAAGTCTTCCAACCTCACATAACCCATTAAAAAAAAAATATCCGATACTTCCAGTATCGTGAAGCACAATTTCGAGGAACCGTCCGCGTTGTCCTTGCAACGATCACATTTTTACGCTTGTTTTTACATTCGCTCGCTGGATTTTATTCACATCCGTGTGAGGCCTCAGAAGTTTTGTCCCGCGTGCAGATGCACTCGCGTCCTAATTACTTTCACTCGTGACCTATTATTGTTCGCATACTCGAAGTGAAGGTTGAGAGGGTAAGAGCACGGAATATCCATCACCTTCCCGACCCTGACAGACATCGAAGGAGGCGTAATCCGTGAAATTAAATGTCCGCTGGCAGAAAACCTTACACACGTCGTAGCAGAACGAACGCAAATTACACGAGAATTATCGCGTACGTCTGAGAAATTTTCTTAATTCTGCGAAGAAACGTCGCGATTACATCGCGTTGTCCTCCCAGCTCGTATTTTATTCAACTTGATATTGAAATAGGTAGATGAGATAATATGCTTGATCGCATTTCAAATTCGCATTACGTGTTTTCGAATCGAGTATATAAACCCTCAGCGTCCTCAGGAACGGAGCTCATCTCGAGACACGATGAAACATTGACACAATTCCGCGAGACGCCCGATGTCGGCTGAATTTAAATGCCTTTCACCTATCATGTAACACTCCACGTAACACATAATAACCGGATCTGGGACAAACACGACCGTTCGGGAACGCTTGTAAAAAACACCGCGCATTCTTCCGCGAGGTGAACTCCCGAAAAGAAAAATGCACCTCGGCAACCGATTGCGCTTAAGGATTGACAAAGGTGTCAGAGGGAGAAAAGAAACAATTGACTCCATTTGCGGTGAATGAACGTGAGAACGGAAACGAAACGCCAGAGGTGGTGCAAATTAAGTTTTATTGTTAAGGAACGGCAGGAAGAAGCATTATCGTAAGAAGGAAGTTAGTAGTGGGTAATGAAGCGGTGCGTCAGTCCGAAAATTACGAAACGGGTTACCCTTATCGGATATTGCGAAACGCGTTAGCTGAATCCGGCCGAAACGATTATAGTTACGCGCGCTATCTGTTAATTCATATCTCGTTAAAGAGTCAATTAACCAGCTTAAGAATACGAGATAATTGCGCACTCGCGTGTATCGGCGCTGCAATCTGCGCGTTCTATCGGTCGAATTTCGCTGTGGTTCCCTTTCGTTTGATTTTTCATTTTTATCGTCTCTTATTTCTCTCCCTCTTTCCTTTGTTCTCAACAAGGCGGGATTTTTAAATACGACGCTGCTTCGTATTTATAGTTTCATGAAACGGAGTACGCGCGTATTCTAGGGCGGCTCTTCCAGACGAAGATAACAAACACGACTTGAGCTACACTTAAGCGAAAATGGAAAATGACATGTAAATCGGATCAGGAACGACGCCGAGCCTTCGCTTCGCACGCATATATATATATATATATATATATATATATGTACAGGATATAATTGACATCCCTCTCCCACTTGTTCGGCGAAGGTCATCCGAAATGAGCTACGCACAAAGAGACTGGAATAAGACATTATGCGCGAGGCAACATATTCCAGGGTATTTTCCAACGTGGAAATGAAATATTAAGGATTCCCTTTTAATGACAAAAAAATAGCAGAAACGTCGACAAATAACAAAATGAATTAAAGTGTATAGGAAGGCTTATAAGAGCAAGCACTAATTAGATCCAAGAATACAGCGCCTCAACGGGAGGTGGGGCGAGGGTGGGGGTGGGTTCGTTAGAAAGCCTGAAGAAAGGGGCGTCGATCGCCCCCCCCCCACCCTTTCTAGTTATAAAAATCACATTTAAGTCATAAGAATCAGAAATTCTGTTTCCTTCAACCAAAACACATTTGGTTGTTCATTTTCTGGTTAATGTAACTAGAAATTTTGTTTCTACGTATTACACAAAGATGAACCAATAGGTGAGTCGACGCTCGGTCATTGAGGATGAACACTTTTATGTGCATGGAGAAAAAGTTTAGCTGGAAGGGCAAATTGTTTGTTAATATAGTCCACAACGAAAATTTGTTATATAGAAAAATTTGCTGTTGCGGCAAAACATTGTTCCGACAGCGATCAAATACAGTTGGCATAACCAAAAATTAATATTCTTAATAAATCTTTCTGCTGTGTAAACAAATCGTTTTGCTGTCGCTATATTAACAATTTGCTGTCACAGCAAAATTGTTTTCTCCATGTAACGGCGCCTCGTATTGAAATAACCCAAATTGCGAAATATGACCGCGATAAGAAAAATGCCGTTTGTATGTCTGATACAATAACGGAATGTATTCGGGCAAAACGAATTTAGAAAAAATGGCATCTCTCCGTTCGGAAGAATGAGACTCTCGCCTCTCTGATCATCCACGCTGCGACTCTACTCGACAACATTCAGGGGTAAATGTTTTGCTGGTCCAGCTGGAATTCTAAACGTCACAGTTAAATGTATCGTTATTTTCTGTATCTGCTGGAAAACTATCTGGTGGTGTGCATAATTTGCAGCGTTAGCATTCTAGCAATAAGTGCCGGAAAATTCCGTTACTAATTTTGACCCAGAAGTGTGACAATTAGTTCAAATAAGAATTTGAACGAACAGTTCAGACAAAAATTCTGTCTCTCTCACCCACATTGATTAGACACAACACATAGATGACATTGAAGTATTCGCCAGTCATTTATCCATCTCAGCTAATTTACAATATTTAGATAACCCTCGCTATGGACTGCAAGACCGTTTTTTCCTTTTAGTGAAACGTCCGAGGCTCGTATCCGGCCAGGTATCGAAGATTGAGGATTGCGAGGGTTAGAGATTCGAATTTGACGAACCAATTAATTTCAATCCCGACTCGCCTCGTCCCAATCAGTTGAGCTGTAATCCCCCAATCTTCGATACCCAGTTCGATACGGGTTCGAAGCTGCAACTTCGCGGTCACGATCGAAATCTCCCGGCAGATTGACCGGTCGACATTGCGGTACCCGCGGGGTCCTTATCAGACCCGCGCACCAGACCACCGCCGGAGTAAAACGCGCCCCACCCGTGCGCTCGCGTGTGACTTCACGCATATAGTGCCGCACACTCGACATACGCACGTAGAACGTGCACATGTGAGCCGTCGTGCGCTCTCTCGCGGTCGCGCGATCACTCGCTCGCTCACTCGCTCGCCCGAGTAGATTCGAGATTTCAGCCGCAGTCGCAGACGCTCGGTGCCCACGACCAGATCGGGGCCCCGGCGCGAGAAAGGTCCCTCGTTGCAGAACGCCGCTTCGTCGATCGCGCTCGAGATCGATCGCGCACCGGCTCGCCGAAGTGTCTCCTCCGCTTTCCATTCCGACGAGGAGCGCGCGCACGTGTCAGCGCCTGGCCGAGGACGCGCTATCGTTATCCTCTGATCGATCGATCGGTCGGCAGGTCGGTCGGTCGATCGATCCGTAGACCCACGCGATCTAACGCGAATACACCGGGCGCATCCCCGAGCGGACCTCGGGAGTTCCATCTCCGCGAGGGAGGGAGAAGACGAGAGCGGAGCGTGCGGGGAGCTGACGGGGACAAGGGTGAACGGAAATTCGATGTCCGGCTCGTTATCGATCGGTCGATCGACAGCCGACGGGCCGGGAGATGGATGCGGCCGCGAAAGATCGCCGTTGAGATCGCGCGCCGGCATAGATCGATCGGTGCCACGATCGTGATACGTGCTGGTACGTCTGTGTGCGCGAGTCTGATACAGCTGATGATCTAGAACCGATTATACCGGACGATCGTCAGAGAGGGGGGGCGCGAGCGCAAATCGGCCGATTTCCAGGCTCGATGACACCCCCGTGTCGGCGCCTGATGTCCGCGTACGTCGAAGAGAAGTTTCAAAGGGAAGACACTCGGACACTCCTCGACAGGCAGTTACGATGACCGCTGATACGCCGAATTATATCGCATGACGCGCTCGATTGCTGCGAACTTCCGGATAAACGAGCTGAAGTGACGACGAAGATGGGGCGAGCTCAGAGTGCATAAGGGTGAGTGAGTAATCCGTTATTCGCAACAGCCGTTTTAACACAATCGACTCTCTCAGGCGGCGAGTTAGACGCGCGGATCAAGAATGCGCTTGCAAAATTCTATAAAATCGCCCGCTTCTACTCCGTTGTTGTCGGATTCATTTTCCTCCCGGTCTCATCGTTAATGTCGCTGATAAAATTAATTGCAATGACGCGCGCGCGCGCAAGCGCGGTGCTAGGCTCTTTCGCAAGAAAAATGAGAAAGCGCGACAATCGCATAAAAATGCGCGGTTGCAACACGATATTGAATTTTCTTCATGTGGGGTTGACTAATACATTATCTTGCGACACCGATTAATAATACCGATTAATAGTCATCCATGTGAAAGAGACGAATGGTCTAGTCTAAACGAAAGTTCCGAAGTATTTCTTGCCTCGCGTTCCCTGCCTCGAATTGGCTTTCCTCTTCCGTTTACCGTCCCGGCGGCTCGACAATGTTGAAATCCGAGGCGCCTTCGGCCTCACCGTTCTAACCCTTCGCGACAGGCTGCCAGTCCAAGCAAACCCCTGCGATAAAAGCTATCGTAATTCAGTCGAAATACGCACAAGGTAGGACAACGAATTAAACAAGGTTGGGTCAGAGTTCGACCGGAGCTGTTTTCAATTGTTCCGATGCTTCTGCACACGCGCTGGCGAAGCGTAATTGTGATTTCGCTGTGACTTTCGACGTTTCGCATATTTTGCGATATATTTCGTTTGCCTTTAATCGTCTTCTAACTTATCGTGTGAATAGAGAGCGCCTGGTCGATAAAATTGATGGGGAATTATACAAAATCCTGCCACCGGTCGGACTCAACCCACCTTGTTACTCGAGAGTCGGAGAAACGACAAATTAAACTGTTAAGGTATCTTTGGTTACGACTCTTCGAGGCATGTAATCACAGTTGCATAATCGGTAAGGGGAATCGGTAAGGGGGGTGTTTTATGGCGGCGCACCTGTGCGCACAGCGAACATGAAAGAGACACAGTATTTGGGACGAAGGTTCTTCACGACATTTCGCTTCGACAGCGCGAAACTTCTCTCGGATCGCTCGACTCGTTCGAAAAAAAAAACCGCGATCGAAGCGACGCTTGATCGACGATTGCGACGCAGGATCGGTTTTGCCGCACGAACCGGTACCGGTGGATTAAACTGGGCCTCCTTTCAGGAAGAGAACTTCTCATCGATAATGAGTAGACGTGTGTGTGTGTGTGAAACGCGCTTTGCGCCAATATTGCATATCTACTTACTCAACGCGTTATTTAACATCGCGGCGGGGCCGTTCGCGGCATCGCATTCCGTAAAATCGATCGAAACTCTATCCGGATTATTTGCGCTAATCGCGATTCAATGCGCTCCGTTTGTTTCATCGGTCGGTGAGCAGCTTGTGTATATTCATATAATTGTGCAGCCGCAAATCGCTAAAATCCAATAGAAACTATGATATATTTATGGCGTAATATGCGTGCTCGCGACACGAAATATGCGGGAAGTCTCGTCGCTGCGACCACAAACATTTCAGATACACACGATATATCCGTACCTTCACCCGCACGTGTTTCTTTACAGCTGTAAAAAAGAACGAGGGAAGATGATATACGTATAATTACGCGATACACGCATCGTGAAATTAACGTTATTGTATTTGATGGACCGCATCCAGCCGCGTTGGGCTGCTCCGTTTCGCAATTAACCGGGATTCTGACAACGATACGCGAGATAAGACAAGCGATACGTTGCAGTGCGAGTGTGTGTGAGGGAGCCTTACAATGTGATAAATTACAATTTTAAATGGAGTTTATCCATCTGTTTGCGCGCTACCGCGCAGCAAGCGTTGAGAATGAATTCAGGTCGGGGAAACGAAAAGAAAAAGAGGTTTCCTCGCGTATGAGATTTAATTATTGTTTGTCTAAGCAATACGGATATCGTGTTCGGCTAGATATAATACTACATCGACGCGTGCGATTAACGCGAAGTGCAAATTGTAAGCTCTAAAGATCTCTCTCGAAAAGGATACCCTGAACGATATTTCATGATTCAATTGTTATCGTTATTTGCAACTACCATCTCCGCTGTGATTGCGCTCGACAATTGCGCGCAAGCATTCTTTCCTGTATTTATTAGAGGTACCCATAAATAATGTCATTTTTTTCAGATCGAATAAACATCGCCACCTTGTCCGTGGAGGTGATTTATTATCACATAACCTATATATTAATTAAATTTATTGACATTCAGTGCATTCGTTGCGAAATTTTGAAAGGACTAAATGTCAAATAAAATAAGATTTTGTATAAATATCAAAAAGCGACATTATTTATCTGGATACCCCTAATATTTGATGTATGTTTTCGCGGCTCCTCTCGGAGGAAAAGCCGTTGAATCGAAAGAATATCCGACAGCGCGTGTAATTGGGGCGAACCTTCTCGCAAACCATAATTGTTAGAACAACAACACACAACAAGTAGTTTTAATGACATTTGCCGCCGAATCGAGAAGATCAGCTCAGATCACGTTGCTGTTGGAAATATTATAGATTCAACGGCATTTTTTTCCCCCGTGCAGTCGCGCTGCAGATGACGAAACAACAACGTGCGAGAGATCCCGCTTGTGCTTTCGCGGCGGGGACAAGAGTCGCGCCGTGGAAGAAGTGAAGCACAAAATATTCAGCAATCCGCGAGTGGACTGAGGAGGACGGACTCGGCAGAAAGTTGGATTGCGGCATAGCAGCAGCCTTGGACTCGTTGTACTTAGGGAGCCGAAGAAGTTTGTATTAGCTGTTCCTCGCCGTGACTCGGCGACTCGCGAACTCAAAAGAATTCTAATGCGCGATATCCGCGCCGTGAAAACATTAACCTTCGCGACTGTCGCCGCGCGAGTGCCCGCGCGGGTCGCTTTTTGCCCGAGCAACCTCGGGCATCAAGTACACATGAACGTACACGCGTATCGATTGCGCTCGGCGGCCGGGAAAGCAAACTCGCGGCGCGGTGTCGCGGCGAAGTGTCGCGGCAAGGTGTGTGCTCGATGAGAAACGATGAGTCGGACGGAAATTAAGAAGCAAACAGAGAATCGCGGAGATAAGCGCCCCCCCTCCCCCTCCCCCTGTCTAATTACATATGCAACCTTCAACAAGTGAAAGCAGTGCGACCGTCGGCGCTCGCGACCCGAGCTCTACCAAGTGCGGCGCAACGCGTCGGGCTGAGAAAACGACCAGGCAGACACGGGATTACCGACCGATTTATTTATAAACTCGCGCCTCAAAAAGCTTCGCGCCGTGGATTTTTATTGCGATCAATTATACGACCGAAGGGAGATATCCCCTTTCGGCGGGCGCATATGCCGAACACGTGTGAAAGCCCGGCAGCTCCAATTCGCGATTACGATCTTGCGCGAGGGCACTTCGGCACAGGAATTTTCCGCGCAGAAAATTCATCGGGTTCTAATTGGGATTTCCCGGCCGGTCTCTCGGGATAATTGTAGATCCCAGTTGAGAAATCTGTCGCAGATTCTCTCTGGTGGGAGATGTGATCTTTCAATGTACGATTCTAAGTGGGAAACGGATTCTACTTGGTCATTCCTGATATTTTTTCCAAAAGATTTGCCCCGCTTCCCATTTTGTGTTACGATTGAACAAACTGTACGAAACACCCCGGACAATATGATGTCTGAAATCGGGATATAAGAGGTCATGAGAGATATTTTACTTAGAACATCTTTAAGACGGCTTAAAGACGTCTTATGTTTCGATTTTAGACCTTATGTTGGCTGGGACATTAACCCATATTTTGATTCTCTTTTATTGATAAAGGTGTCTTAAATTGGCTTCTCAGGCCCCAATCGGGTCGTTTCTAAACCGCTTTTAGAAACATTTTTCTCAGTAAAAGTGAGCTGAGAATCTGAACTTTTAAGTATTTACAAGCACACACACGAATGCTATGCGTGCGTTATTATGCATAATAACATGAAAAATGTAACCTCGTTTATTTAGCCCTCAGTCTGATATTCGATCAAACCGTCATTCGATTCTGACGACGACAGTCGCACGCCGCAGCGCATAACCGATCAGCATCGCGGAATAGAGACTTCACTCCATATTTGGCATGAGAATGGAATTTCTAATTGGTATGAGTAGTGAGATAACCTATTTTAGAACATCTTTTGGTATTCTGACCGGAATCTATACTGAGCATGGGAAAATCTGAGAAAATATTGTAAGCAATATTCCCCATTTTTTTCCCACTCGATTTTGTACCTAATTTTGGTATCGGACTGAAATACCCACCAAATTGGTTACAAATATATATGCCTTAAGGTCATTTATTTAATTAATATCTTAAAATTAATTAATTAATATCTTAAGGTCGTTTCAGAGAAAATGAGCTTCAAAAATGTTGGAACCTGACAGATTATTTCATCCGTCGGGATTGAAACTTTTGGAGCCTATTTTTTTTTTTTGGAACAATAAATGACCGCAGCTTAAGACATATATATTTATAATCAGATTGTGGCGATTGTAGAGTTTAATTTGATACTAAAATTAGGTAATCGAGCGGAGGAAAATGAGGAACATGTTAACAAACTCTTTCTTTATGCGGGTTATCGTCGCTCGTGCGATTAGCCGCTCGCGATTTAGCCGCGCCTCCTTCGAAGTATCTAACATTTTATTGTGCAAATTATCGCGATATGACATTTCGACCGGCGCTGGTATTCCCAACCGCGTATTTAACGTTAAATACGGCTCTGCGCGTTCGCACGATCTGCATGACAAATTGACTTTACTATAGTCATTACAGGTCACTGCGTAGTCATTGCGGTTCGACGTAAAGATTGCGTTCCTGTCGGGGTAACGTGAGAATCGGACACCGCGTGCCGACATTTCCGACCGTCGCAATCAGTAATTTATGCGGCGGCGCAAGGAGAAAAAAGCACGTATTGAAAAAGATGCATTTGTTGCACCTGATTCGCTCCAGAAATCACTGAG